GTTTGAAACTGATAGTTGAGGAAGAGGCAGAATAAACCCTGTGTGGGACAAGGCAGCGGAAGTGATGTCTAGTGCCAGCAGAAGCCTCTTCAGGGAAGAGAGTAAGGTTAAATCCTATACATACAACCATTGCAGAGTGTGGCTAAAATCCAAGTAATTATATTTGATAAATGTAACATCTATCATCTACTGAATGTTTCCTAAGTGCTACCTTACATGCATTACCTTTTCCCGTGACACTCCAAATGAAATGAAACTGACATTCAGAGAAATTAAGTAATTTATCCAATTCATACAAGATCATACAGCTAGGAGGTCGTGGTCAAAGCCTAAATTTGTCCATTCTCTGAATGACTCAGCTCTACTGAGTCTCCAGGCCGACAAAGATGACCTTATGGAACATGTTTGGAGGGAAAACATGAATATGGGTGCGTGTTCCTTTTGGAAGAACAGTAATTGATAGGAGTAGAGAATGAACTCAGATGTCAGGGAAGAGGTATGGGAAGTCACAGCCTTGGGGACAGATGTTGGGCAGTGAGTCATGGATGGGAGCTCATCATAGGAATGGCTATGGGCTACTTGGCCAATGGAAGCCACAGATAGGGAAGATGTGGCTTTCCTAGTATAGATCTCAAAGCTGGTCCAACAAAGGCAAGACACGAGTAGGTTCTTCTGGCATCTCTTAAATAATAAAAATATCACTTAATGAAAAGCAGAGCTTCAGATTATGTCTTGAGTTGCCCAGGAGACAATATGATCTCCCAGAGAATATAATTCAGCAGAAGAAACTCCCATCTTGGGTTGAATGCAACTGGTTGAAAAAGAACTAGTTGTAAAGTAGAAAGGAAAGGAACTTTGGGGAAATTGATTGTTTCATATGAGCTAGGCATATCAGATACAACCTTGGACATTTAAGAAGGTGTATTAAAAATCAGAGAAAATTTAGACCAAAGGCTTTAAAGCAAAGATAACTTGAGAAGACTAGAAAGTTCACAAAAGCAAAATTGTGAAGACACAACCATAGTCAGCAGGCAGGAATAAATAGAATAAATAAGAGAAAATAGACACATTGGCATTATATATTAATATTTTATCAGTCACTCAGAAACGCTCATCAGATGGTTCAGTTATTGCACGTCAGAGATGGATTTCCGAGAGACAAGCACCATGAAGGAGCTCCACGGATACAGAAATTATGACATGGTCCCTGTCTTTGAGTTGTATACAAAGTTGTCTAGCTCAGTTCTTAAAACGGAGTAGGGACTCAAAAAGTGTCCTCAGAGTCAAACCAGCTTGGGGCTAATAGAATTTTATTATGTTGAATCTGATTAACGAAAGACTGTAATTATTACAATAGCCAGCATTTATTGATGGTTCTCATACGCTAGGCATTATTTGAAGTATTTCCCATATACTTAATATTTATAACAACCCCAAGAAGTAGGCATCATCAGTATCCATATTTTATCCTCATTAGAGGATAAAGAGTTAAGTTACTGGTCCTGTAGAAGGTGGTGGCCATAATCATTAGTCTATAGTGAAGGTGGTATCTTCACCAATGGCTGATTCTCTTTGAATGATATTCATGAATTGGGAAGTCCTGCTGGAAGGAATTTCATTATAATGTAAGTGGTTTCTGTGTCTGTTACTATGTTATATGAATCCTGCTTTACTCATGGGAAGACACATATCCTGTTAGACTAGAAATCCTACTTCCCAGGTTTGTTTTCATTCTCAAGTCAGTTGACTTTGATGACGAGCTTCTATGCTGTAATTGCTACTGAAGATCTGAACAGTATAGTTGTGGCGTAATGGAGGTGCCTGGACCTGCAGCAGGAAGATTTGGCGTCCAAGCCCTACTCTAGGGCTTGGGCAGGTCACCTGCCACTACAGAGGCAGCCAGCAGCAAGCTTAAGATGAGGACTTTGGTTCAAACCCAGCTCTGTCTCTCACATGGCAAGTGACTGTATAAGTTAATGTCAGTGATCTAATCCTGCTGTTATGGACTGAATTGTGTCCCCCACCCCCCCAATCCATACATTGAAGCCCTAACCCCCAGTGTGACTGCATTTGGAGATAGGACCTTTAAGGAGGTAATTAAGGTTAAATGAGGTCATAAAGGTGGGCCCTAATCTAATAGGACTGATGCCCTTCCAAGAAGAGGAAGAGACACCAGAGATCTCTCTTTTTCTCTCTCACTGTGCACAGGGAAGAGGCCATGTGAGGACACAGTGAGAAGGCAGCCATATACAAGCCTGGAAGAGAGGCTTCACCAGAAATCAACCCAGATGGCACCTTGATCTTGGACTTCTAGCTTCCTGAACTGTAAGGATATAATTTGTTGTCTGAGCCACCCAGTCTGTGGTATTTTGTTATGGCAGCCCTCGCTGACCAATACACTGCCAAGCCTGCTTTCCTGTGAGGTAGGGATTAATGATAGTACCTAGTCATAGCCCCATCCCATCGCTTTTTCCAAGAGAAGCCATGTAAAAAGCTGAGCATGTTGCCTGGCTCATGGTAAGACCTTGATGATTTCAGTTGTTACTGTTATTAACAGTGAAGTGTGGTTTCCTTCCCTGGGCATGACAGTCTCACTCCCCACGTGGTCGGTATGGGGCTGAAATGAGACCTGTGCTTCTTAAAATTTCCCTGGCAAAAGATGAGAGTGCTCACACCCTCCTGGGGATATGGGCACAAGAAGGAATTTCCATTGGAGTGATTTGTGAAGTCTCTCACGTTTTATCTTAAAAACCCACACAGATTTTGCATTCTAGTTCATATATAGTTTTAATTTGTACAGTGTTTGCAGTAGTTTCTCAGGGTAGACAGCTGAGGATCTAGACACATGACCTGGTCCTTTGTGCCTCATTCACTTCACTCGCATTTGCGAAGGCCTTTGCAAGTCACAAAGAATTGTTCTGATGTGAGGATTTTGTGGTATGTTTAAAAATCAGCGTTACAATTAATCAACTTGGGATACACTATAAAGTGTGTTTCATATTACTAATGAACTACTTGAAGCACTGTTAGTGAGCTCCTACTGTGTGCCAGGCATTGGTGTCAGCAGGGTGACCACTCAGATCCACTCCCAACCTTCCGGAAGCTTACATTCTGGCAAGGTAGGTTGACACTAAACACATAGTTGGATAACTAACTCTTAGAGTAATGGCACATCGTGACAAGGGCTCTGAAGGAGAAGGAAAGTAGCCTAGGAAAGCCCGTAGCAGGGGAGCAGGTCAGAGCCCTAGAGCATTCTGAGCACTAATAGATTCCCAGGAAGTCTGGCTTCCTAGGAAGAGTGGTCTGGAAGCAGCCTTCTTGAGTGAGGCATCAGTTATTAAGCATTTTAAACTGAGTGAATTATTATCACTCATGGTCTGTCAAAGCTCTGGGTGGTCTGTTTTCCACAGCTCCAGGTAGGCTAGTTATGGGGATTTTGTACTGGGGACAGGGTGGTATTTGGCAACTTTTGGGGTGTGATGGGGTGAAGGGCAGTGCTCTTTGCTTTAAATGTACAATGTGGGAAGTGGGGATGGGGGACTGAGGGATATTAGAGGTGCCTCTTCTCTCTTTTCTTTTTCCTCCCTGGCGAGTGCGTCTGCTCTTTGCAGACTTGTCCAGGAGTCAGTTAACAGGTGAGAACTGCTTTACAAATCACAGCCTTGGTCCCCAAAGAGCCAAACGGAAGCCCCCTCCATTTTTCGCCTGCCCTTCCAGCTCCTAATAGAGGGTGGATGCAGCATTTTGTGTGTTGGAGGTGGTGTGGGTGGGGAAGTTGTCCCCAGCACCTTGACCTGGAAGTCTGGGGTCCCCTGTAGCCCTCTGAACACTGGCTTTGCCCATAACAGGGGTGCAGGGAGGTTACCCCGACACCTGCTCTTCTTCTCATCCCTGCCCCCACTGCCCTTCCTAATTGCTTCCACACCCCTGGCCACTCCTTTTTTTCCCCTTGGAGGCCTTAGCACAGCAAACAGGCAGATGGAGGAAGGGTGTAAGATTATTGTAGGGAAGGGGAGGAATTTTCCATTAATAATAATAATAATAACAAGAATAATAATGTTTCTCATGTTGGCACAGCACTCGCCAGTTTACCAAGTGCATTCACACCTGTGATCTCCTTGGATTCCAGAGGTGGGAAGTTATGACACTGGTGTTCTGGTTGTCAGCCTTTGACACTGCCCCCATGTTCAAGCCCGCCACCTTTTTTACAGACATTAGCCCATTGAGGTGTCCAGGACTTTACTTAAGCACAGGCCCCAATGAATGCCCCCCATAAAATGCCCTCTCTTTGCTCCTGTCAATTGCAGTTTCAACAAGCCCCCACCATGTCTGTGAAACTTTATCAAATACTCTCATCTCCTGAAAAAGAGTCCAAGCAAGAAAGGGTCTCAGAGACCATGTGGTCTAACCTCGTCACTAGCCCAGAGAGAAAAAGGGTAGGTTAAGGTCACGCAGCTTGTCAGGAACAGAGCCAGGGCTCGGACACCCATGTGCCACCCACACACACTCCTGCAGCTCCTCCTCCCGATACCCTGGGTAGCTGCACACTTCGTCTCCTGGGGCTTCTCAGCGTGCGAACAGTAGGGGCTTCGCATGACCGGTGGTTTTCAAGAGTGTGACTCGTTAGCCCTCTTTTACTTTCGGTGGGGGTGGGGGGGAGGTGGGATGGGGTCAGAGGAGCTCGCCGTCCTCCGGAATCCTGTGGGGCATTCTTTTATGAAGTTAAGACTCCAAGGGTATGAAAACGTTGGTTTCACAAACAGGAGGCGACTCAGCTCTGGGACGAGTCCCTAACAGACCCCTAGCTGCCCTGGCCCAGGAGGCACCTGTACCCACAGCGCCCGGCCTTCGACACCCCCTACCCGCTCCAAGCGCCCATGCGCCCACGCTTCTCGCCCCGGCCCCACCGCCCGTCTCTCCCTCGTCCTCTCTGGCCTCTAGATCGTTCGGTTCTCCCCTCCCCACCAAGCAACAAGTGTGGGCACCACTTTTCTTCTTACCGCGGCCTCGGTCCATGGCGCCAGCGATCGATCGCAGGGAGCAGGGCGCGGTGCCTCCGGCGGGGCCGGCCGGCTGCGGGGCGTGCGGCGCTCTCCAGTCCCGCCCGCTGGAGCGCCCTCCGCGCGTCCCCTCCCCCGACAGGATGCTCGCCCAGCGCCTCCGCCCGCCCTCGCCTGCCCCTGCACGCTGCTCCCGGAATAGACCCGGAGCCCGCCTCGCCCCCTGGGCAGCGGTGTCCCTTGTCCCGCACACGCTCCGCGCCACGCCCTGCCTTTCGCAAGTCCTCATGCCCCTCCGTGAGGGGCTAGAGGACCCACATCCCAGTTAACACGCTTTCTTTCGTACCCGCGACCGTGCTTCGCACCCCCGCCCAGACCAAGGCGTTGTTCAGCTCTGCTTGCATTACGCTAGTGACGAGGGGCTTACTACTGCACTTCCCAGCCCGGTCCATTTTCAGATTGTACAGACTGTTAGAACCTGTTTTTCGACAGTGGAATCAAAATCTCTTTGCCTGCCGCTGCCACCCATTTCCTGGCTTTCGGTTTATCTTCTCCATTAAACAGGTCTTTCCTGGGCACCTTCTAGTGCGAGACAGTGGACCAAACTCTATGCTGGTACAGTGTCAATAATGGTGTAAAAGAGGAGTGAAGTAATAAAGATCTTTAAAAAATAAAACCACCTAGGAAAAGGAGAGAAAGAGAGGATTGCTAAAAGTGAGCAATGGCTTGGGACACATCCAACTTTCAAGGTTCCCTGTGCACTAAAACGTGAAAAATGCCAACACGGAGTGATAAAAATTGTGGAAATGAACACTTTTTTAGCATACAAATGCAGTGCAATGTTAAGTGTGCTCTTCCCAAAATAATTACAGGATGTAGAAACATATTGCTATGGCCAGTGTGGTCAGGAATGGGATTTAAGTTTAAAGTTGTATGAAGAATGTCAACATCTTTCATCCTATTAGTGTGTCTCTGTGAAAGTAGGTCCAAACCGTTTATAGACAATATGAAATGTCTAAATTTAAGACCCTTCATAAAGTGAAGTCCAGGCCTAGTTCTCCTTCTAGACACTCCTCCTCCGCAAGATAGGCCAGGTCACAGTTTGAAGTTTTGGCTAGGCCACTCCTTTACTTAGAACATTCTGGCATTGGGACCATCTTGTGCAAAGGCACAAGGGAGGACTTGGGAAAAAGCAACCTGCGTTTTCTTGGCCTGGGACTATTTCCTCCATTGCTTTGATGGGCAAGTTGAAATTAGCTCTGGCTTTGCCAGATTGCATCAGTAGTTTGTTTAGTATATCTGTGTATGAGCATAGAGGAAATATGGTGTAGTGAAAAAACAACGGGATTGGAGTCTGAAAACTTGTGTGTGATCTCTTGCTCTTCTAATTACTGAGTGTGCAGCTTTAAGCCTTTGAGGTTTGCTTGCTCATCTGTGCTGTGGGAAACCTCATACTGACCTCACAAGGCTGTTAGGAGGGCAAATGAAATGATGGTACAAACCCACTTTGTAATCCTGAAATAGCTGTGAGCCGTTATTGTTTGCCAATTCCTCTTTGTTCCTGCCCACTTTTCCAATTTGAAAAGGTCAGTTTAAATTCTAAAGCAGACAACCAACGATTTACAAGTGGGTTAACTTCTAAAAGTTCACTGTTTGAATTCTGAAACACTTGGAAACAAGGCTATAAATTGTAGTCAAGTTTCCAGGCTAGCCCATTTATACTTTAAAAAGCATAATATTTCACTTGAAGTAAATTTTAAAAATATGTAAAACGTAACTGTTGCAAGAACAGATGGAGGCTTAGAACTTGTAGAAACTTTAAGAAACTTTCAGACTCTGGATGTTTAGAAGAGAATTGGAACAGAAAAATCAAAAAAGCTAAAGGGAATTTATATGCACCTATGGAAGAATTTGTGGAGTGGAATTAACTGAGCTGTGGTCTAGGAAAGATGTAAAAATGGGAGAACACAGTCTGTGCTCAGTTTTCCTAAGGATTAACAAAAAGAAGTCACTGAAGGTGTAGTGGTTCTGGTTTAATAATTACCCATAATGCCCACTAGGTGGCACTGTTGACTAAATTGACTACAGCTTGGTTGCTGCTAGGAAACTGGGTGAGGTGGATGAGGAGGCTGTGGGTTTGGGACAAGGAATAACTATATATTTTTTCCTGTACTTTTCCTTTACTTAGGCCTATAGTCACCATAAAAACTATCCCCACTTTTCATCAGTCCTCTTAGGAACGTTTGTTGTATTCTGTGCCAATTTCTATTGGGAGAACTAATGCTAAGTAGAAATGATCTCCATCCTTAAGGAACCTACAATCTAGTAGAGGAGACGGATATGTAAAAAATAGTTAAAAATTATTATGTGAAAAGTGCCAAAGGAGAGATAAAGTGTTCTTGGAATTCATTCAGACAAAGCAAGAATATCTTACTGATCATGGAGACAGTAATGGATGACAGACACTTGGGTGAGCCTGCAATGAGAAGATAAAGTAACAGGCAGCGAAAACAGTGAGAGCAAAGACATAGAGATAGAAAACTGCAGGATGTGTCTGTAAAGAAGTTTGGTCTGGCTAGATTGTAGGGTATCAGGTGGGAAGTGCTGGAATGAGAATGGGGATGGAAGTTGTGGATGCCAATGCCTGGTTTCTCCTCCCTTTTCCACTTCCCTGTATGAATGCAATTCTCTGGAAAGGATTTTTAGGATCTGCCTCATATCTTCCCTTTTCTTATTGTTGTACTAAGTTTTCTAGGTTTGCCTGGTACTTGTCTAAAGAAGTCTGTGCGGAGAGCTCCAGCTCTGTAAAAAGATATCAAATTTTGTCCCAGTGAACAATTCCAGGAAAAAAGCTTTCAGCTCCCATATGCTCCTAGTCTTGTGAAAACAAATGATACTCCCCAGTCTCATTCTTAGCTTATCAGGTGGAACTGGGAAGCCCTGGGAAAGAAAAATTTGGAGGCTAAATGTTCTTTGTCCTAGTGAGAGAAGCATACTTTAGCCTTCTAACCTGTCACTTTGCCTCCAGGTCTGCTTCCATCGTGGCTGCTACAGTGACCATTCCATGGTTCCAATCAGATCCCCCTTAAAAATACTTGATGGCTCTCCTTTGCCCTCAATGTAGAGTTCAAATTCCTTACTATAGTATTTGGGGTGCCTTCCTCACTAAGCTCCAACCCGCCATTCCTCAGAGCAGACAAGCAGTGATCTCAGGAGACCCTGGGAAGAGTAAGAGAAACCATCGATTGGGGAGTCAGATCTGGGTTCTTTTTTTAATACTTTTTTTTTTTTTTTTTTTTTTTGGCGGTACGCGGGCCTCTCACTGTTGTGGCCTCTCCCGTTGCGAAGCACAGGCTCCGGACGCACAGGCTCAGCGTCCATGGCTCATGGGCCCAGCCGCTCCGCGGCATGTGGGATCTTCCCGGACCGGGGCACGAACCCGCGACCCCTGCATTGGCAGGCAGATTCTTAACCACTGCGCCACCAGGGAAGCCCAGATCTGGGTTCTTGAACTGACTCTCTTACTGTGTCACTCTCAGTTCTTCCATTGGGTCATCAATGTATAATTTCCACTTAGGTCTCTCCTTACCTCTCCATGGCCCCCCAGATTGCAAGTACCATGAGGGTGGGTGCTGTGTCTTACATGTTGCGAGGTCCCTAGGGCCTAGCACAGTGCCCAGAACCTAGTAAGTGGTAGTAAGTATTGTGGGGTGAGTCAGTGAATAAATGCTCAAGGACTCAACGAGGTTTCTATTAATGCAGGTATTTTGGGGGTGGTCTCCTTTATCCTCTGGGATTGTTTATTTGCTTATCTATTTGCAGAGGAAAATGAGATTGCAATGATGTGTTCTGGGAGCAATGCCTCTGTGTTTCCCAGCCCCACTGCCTGCCGCTGCGGACATGCAGCCCAACCCATGGGGCTTCTTCTTGGCTCAGGGCCCTGCTCCCAAACTCCTTTGTGCAGGGTGAGCCCCAGAGCCCCTTGCTCGAGTGTCTGCCCAATGCTGGTCACTGGATGAAAACCTCTCTTTTTCCACTCAGCACAATGTCCCCATTATAGCCCCTATCCAGGGAAATGACACATGCCTGCTGGTCCACCCTGGGTCCCGGAAAGCAGATAGAGATCTGAGTGGCGGCTGCTGGGAGAAGGAGAGTTTCATGGCTGGATGAAAACCTCTCCTTTTGTTGTACCTTCAGGTTTCGGTTCCAAAGCACCTGGCTCCTACCTGCACCCAGGCCACAGGTTCACCTTCAACTGTCACAGAGCCCGGAGCACTGTTGTGTCTGGAGGAAAAGGAGCTTTTATTCTTGTGCCCCAATGCTGCACATCCCTTCTCCTCAGGTCCTTCCTCAAGAAAAGAGCACTCTTGGCTCCTTAAGTGAGGCTCACAGGCCGAAGTGCCCACAGGACCAGTCAGGGGAGGTCTGTGTGTGAGCTGACCACCTGGCAAAGCAGAGCACTCTTGTTCCAGCTGAAAGGCCAGGAGCCAGCAACTCAGGGAAGTGTGGCCAGGGGGAACATGGGCCTGGAGTGGCCAGATCTTAAGACTTTTCAGGAGAACCCGGGAATCCAGATTTCAGCTTTTGATTTTAAAATGTTGGTAACTAAGTTCAACTGTTTTAAAACATTGCAAGGGCCAACTAAAATACCCCTGTGGGCTTAAGCTGGCATACAGGCTATGACTTTGGAACCCTGAGAAAAACTGTGGGTCCATGAAGACTTCTAGAGAGTCTGTCCAGCTGGGTGCCTCTACCTGGGGGCCAAGGTGATACCCAACCCTTAACACTGCAGCAGGGGCTAACTCTCTTTTGTCTTTTTTTTTTTTTTTTTTTTTTTTACGATACGCAGGCCTCTCACTGTTGTGGCCTCTCCCGTTGCGGAGCACAGGCTCCAGATGCACAGGCCCAGTGGCCATGGCTCACGGGCCCAGCCGCTCCGTGGCATGCGGGATCCTCCTGGACTGGGGCATGAACCCGCGTCCCCTGCATCGGCAGGTGGACTCCCAACCACTGCGCCACCAGGGAAGCCCCCAAGGGACTAACTCTCTTTTGAAAGGC